TTGCACTGACCTCAGTGGAAAATTCACTGACCTAACACTTGCCATTTTTACCAGGGTTGACTAAACTAATACACAACATGAGCAGAATTTAATGATAATGAACAATAAAATGAAACTTCACTGATTCCAATGTTGCCAAGATTAAAAATAATACTTGACTCGTTGCTGGTTTTGACGGTACCTACCCTATGTTCTTTATTCACTTCTCGTTTTCAATTTCTGTATTTGATATTTTGATAATTGCAGATTTGTAAATATTGATCAATTTAAAAATCGAAAAATTGGCAACAACGCGTGTTAAAATTGATGAGACATTTGAGTCATGCAAATATCTTTGAATTGCGTATTTTTAGAAAATTTTCGTCCAAACCGCGACCTCATCGCTCAATTTTAATATCACCTACGGACTTTTCACGTTTCCGACTTGGCAACGCTGTAGCGCGCTGGGAGAATCTTTTGCGAACTTGCCATTACGGGAAAAAGGCGTGTCCTATGATAGGTAAAAACATATCCAACTCCGGGAAAAATTCATGAGGGGGGCAAATCGCCGATTTTGAATAACCCTCGTTGGCTATTTGCGTACCGGAAAAGTCGTTTTTCTATTTGCTCATCCGTTTTAGGTATTTTATGAAATGCCTAGGGCCTAGGCATTTGACAAAACATCAAGCCATTGGATAAAATGACTAGGCTAATTGAAAAATCATCTTATTCATTGTCTTTTGACTATTTGCCTTGGCATTTTACTAAATGCCGCTTTTGACTATTGACCGTCGACATAAAGATAGCTTCGTCTACAACTTTCTCTTCATCATTAATAATGGCCTCGTCTACAACTTGGTCCATAACTTTGTCTATGATTTTCTCTATCACTTAGGTACTCCATTGCTTTGTCCATAACTTTGTCCATAACTCTGTCTGTAACCTTAACTATAACTTTGACTATCGATTTGTCTAAAACATTGTCTATAGCCTCGTCTATAGCTTCATTTGTGGCTTTGTCTAAGACTGTCCATCGCCTGGTCCATAGCTTTATCATTAGGTAAGTTTGTCTGTAGCATTGTCTATCACTTTGATGATCATAATTGGTCCTCGTTTGTCTCCAACTTTGTCTAAAACGGAATCTATAGCTTTGTCTGATCCTTTTGCTATAATTTAGTCTATAGCTTTCTCTACCACTTTTTCATTAATTCCATCTTTCATTCCAGCCCGGCGATGGCAAATTGTGCGATAATGTGAATATTTTACATAGGTGTGATAGGCGGAAAGTACTGGAAATGCAGCATATTTGGCGAAATCCTTCGAAGTTTACATTAATGATAATGTGATAATAACCTACATTTTGGTTTTGCAGGGATTCTCTTCCATCATGAAGATTTTTTACACGGTCTCAGGCTTCAAGACCCCTTACAACTACTTAAAGGAGAAAGAAGACAATGCTGGACCGTTTGACTCTGATTTCGCCGAGTATGTGCAGTTACCGGAGGTGCGCCAAGCGCTTCATGTGGGCGACACAGAATTCAAGAGCATTGGTCCCGTCTATTGGAACCTTTTGGGAGACTTCATGAAGAGTGGGAAACCTTATCTAGAGGAAGTGAGGATTACAATTATGAATTCAGTCTCCTAATCCAAGGGATACCTATGCACAGAGCAAAAATATTTCAGTGATCCATGTCTCCAGCCTCCCTAAGAAGCGCAGCTTCGACCGGGCCCCCCACATCCATCGGTGGGCCCAGGGGCGGATCAGTTAGCCGGCCCCTTCTTAATAAAGTATCTAAGGGGGGTCTGGGGAGTTCGGGGGCCTACTCCCCGATTTTTTAAAAGGACTACGTGCAAAACGGGTCATTTGGGGCTCGGGGAGGATACCTTTGAGACTTGCCCAATTCATTCACCTAAAAATGCCCTATCTTTTCCCAAAGTTTCAAGCCCCCCAAAAATTTTGGGGAGGCGCGGCGGGGTGTCAAAGTTAAAAACCGGCAAAATTTTCGCGAATTTATTACTCGAAAACCAAGAAGTTTTGGAAAACGCGGTTTATACGAGCGTATTCAGCGTGACGAGAGCTTTCAGAAAATGTATAACATCATAGGGTTTTGTCAACTTCAGCTCGAGTTATCGCCTCCGAAGCGCCGGAACACTTAAAAAAACCGGCGCTCCGCTTCGCTCCGCTCCGGTTTTTGGGGGCACGCTTCGCGCGCGTTTTTTAGTTTCAGTGTCCGGCCTCAGTTGTTCTGTCTTTTAAGTGACCCGCGCGTCCACCGCGGGAAGAGTGTATTTTCCGAAGGGTGGGGCGGGGGCGGGGAGTTATCAATCTTTGGAGGTTGGATTTACGTTTACACTTATGGAGGCATTGATTATTCGAATAAGGACTTCATGTCGCCAGATTGCAACAACAATCCTCATGTAATGTCTGATATGAAAAAATGTCAACAAACGCTGTGACAAGCTTGAATGACGATGGATGAATCTCCATAACCCACTGTGCGACAACATTGCCGTCTTGTCCACCAATTATCAGTCTGTAACCCACTGTGCGGCAATATAGCAATCGTGTCCACCAATTATCAGTTCATCAGTTCGTGACCCATTGTACGACAACATTGCCGTCTTGTCCACCGACTTTCAGCTCGTGACCCACTGTGCGACAACATTGCCAACTTGTCCACCAACTTTCAGTTCGTGACCCACTGTGCGACAACATTGCCGTCTTGTCCACCAATTTTTAGGTCGTGACCCACTGTGCGGCTTCCCTCCGCTTTTGCAGCACACCTCCCGCCTAAAACTTTCAAAGCTCGCCATTTTTAAACGGCTCGACCGATTTCGCTCAAATTCAATACCAGCCTAGAACTAAGTAAGATCTTCCTTCTGTAAAAATTTCGGGGGGAAAGCTTTTAATTTGGGCGAGTTATCGCGCCCACAAAATTGAACCTCCCCCCACTTCTCGCCCCCACCATTCGAAATGTAATACTTCGATCTCCGTTTTTTTTCGCAGAATGGTAGTCCTGTTCCTCTTCTTTACATCGGAAAAAGTTTCACTCGGAAATTTTTAAAAATGAGGGAAATATAACCAAGCAAAAATCGGAAAAACCACGATGAGTCGGAAATACAAACATAAATAAACAGGTATACAAATATATATATATAAAAACATGAATTCAAACGGCATGCATATTCGTAATCTACGACCCATGATCGATGCTCATTACATGGTCTATGGTCCAGGTCTGACATCAGGGGAGAACGCAATAGTGTATTTCCTTCGGAAAATACACTAAAAGACCCCTTATTTTTTCACGTTTGGGCCGATTTAAAAAAAGCCATTCTTTTATTTTGATGAAAAACTGATATGTTGTTCCTGACTCTCTGTAGCCCCTCTAGCTCTTTACCGCATGCTGGGGAAATGTATTGGTCGCGAGTTATAAGAGCGGAAAGGAGCGAAGGTCGGGAAAATCGGCTATTTTAAACTGCGCGTGGCGACGGATCAGGAGACATGTGGCAACAATGCGAGGTCGGCAGAGGAGTGTGATTCGCCGAACTGAATGGGAGGGGACGTTTTCCTTCCGATCAACGCCTCACGCGGAGTTTAAAATAGCCGATTTTCCCGACCTTCACTCCTTTCCGCTCTTATAACTTCCGACCAATACATTTCCCCAGCATGCGGTAAAGAGCTAGAGGGGCTACAGAGAGTCAGGAACAACATATCAGTTTTTCATCAAATAGCTTTATTTAAATCGGCCCAAACGTGAAAAAATAAGGGGTCTTTTTTTATTGTTCCGGCGCTTCGGAGGCGAAAACTCGAGCTGAAGTTGACAAAACCCTATGATGTTATACATTTTCTGAAAGCTCTCGTCACGCTGAATACGCTCGTATAAACCGCATTTTCCAAAACTTCTTGGTTTTCAAGAAATAAATTCGTGAAAATTTTGACGGTTTTTAACTTTGACCCCCCGCCGCGCCTCACCAAAATTTTTGGGGGGCTTGAAACTTTGGGAAAAGATGGGGCATTTTTAGGTGAATGAATAGGGCAAGTCTCAAAGGTATCCTCCCCGAGCCCCAAATGGCCCGTTTTGCACGTAGTCCTTTTGCCTCCAATCTGAGTGATTTCATGCTATTTTCGCACTTATTCAGATTAGTTTATGCAAGATTTTTCCCCTTTTAAAATCTCAGAATTATTGCAGTCGTTTGGAAATTTAAGGTGAGCCGTTATGAAAAAAAAACAACATTCGACGTGTAAAATGTTTTTTGTTTTTTTTTTCATCGAAAGTCGGCAATCGCATAACTCGGTTTGCGACGTCGCAGACTTCCTGTCATACTTTATTTTTTAAACGGAAAACTACTCAACGGTAATTCTTTAAAACTTCCGTGATTTTTCTTCTATGTGCGAGGAAAATTCTGCAAAAACTTCAAGGAATAATGTCCATTTATTCTCCTTTAAAAAAATAACATAGTTGCGGAGATTTTCAGACACCGCAAATGAGTTATGTGATTGCCGACTTGCACCGTCGATATGCATCTCCCATAAGAATTGGGCCCAGAACGGAATCTTGCCATACCTTCACCTTTTGTAATGGAAGGTTGCAGAAGTTCAAAAATGGCGGAGTTTTTGATCCAGCTCCCCGTGGGGAGGGGGGCGGGGGGTCAAAGAAAAATCAACTTTTGCTCATAACTTTTGAACGGTTGCAGGTATCGAATTGAACTTTTTTTAAATGAAAGAGCATAAAAAGACCTTTCTATTAAGTATAGGAAATTGATAATCAGTTAATTTTTGGCAAAGTTATGGTTCATCAAATTTTTTGAAAAATTTTAATTTTGGATTTTTCAATTTTTCAACGTGAGGGGTCGCACGAAAGGTTATAAATATGCGTGCAAAAGATAGTCCTTGTTTTTCTCTTTAAAATGAGCTAAAGGAGATGTTGGGGAAATGATTAGTTTCAGAGTAATGCTTTTTCAAAGTTGACGCGACAGGGTCCGTATATGGGCCTCGGGCTAGAGTCCCGTAGCTGCGCCCGGGAGCACCCTGTTTCACGCTGATCTCCGTAATGTTTTAACATTTTACAGCTTTTTGGCCATTTAGTAAGCATACATATAAGGATGAATATGCCATACATAATTTCTCTTCCCCCTTTTTTTATTTCATCTAAACCACTCTGGAATTTAGAAACGTCGCACTTGCGATTGGCACAGCGGTGGATCCAGAGTGAGTTGGAGGGTGGGGGGGGGAGAGGGACATTTGCTGACGTTAAATGGGGGGTCTGAGGGATACCCCTGGAGGAAGGGGAGTCTCCCCCGAAAAATGATTGCAAAAATAGCCCCTAGCAGATTGAATTTTAAGCAGTTTCAGCACAGAATCTGTGCATTATTTGAAAGTTGAAAATTGACGAATAAGTAATACCTCATTTAGAGAAATCTTATTTTAGTATATGGCCTATCTTTTTCTGCGGTGTTGAGTAACCTTATTTGGTTTAGTAATCTTTGTAAAATACTTCTAGAGTTCTGTCTTGACACCATTTCAGTAAATATTTGGGAGCACTTTCTTTCTCTCCCTCTCCGTTCCCCGTTCCTCCTTTTTTCTTCCTTTCCCCCTTTTTTTGGCCCGCGGGGGGAGAAGAAGGGTTGGCTGCCACCATGCCCCTCCGTCCCCCCTGCATTTGCCGCTGAATTGGTATGCTTTTTACTTTTGTTTTGAGTGTTTCCTGTGATCTGGTAGTATGCATGTGATCACTATTTAAGGACAAAAAATAATTCTAAGCATTGATTTTGGGTACCAGAACAGAAGGAAATAATCAGTAAAAGACAATCATGACAGTAAAATACAGGGTGATCCAAAAGTCCCTTCCACCCCCTCTAACTTTTTACCTAATTGAGGTAAAGATTTGAAACTTGGGGGTTATTCCTAGGTCAAAGGGAGCTACTTTTTGGCCCCCCTAAAATGTTCAGGGGCCCCCCTTAGGGGGGCAACGGCCCCCAACTTTTAATTTTCAAATGGGAAGACCCCCTTTGTGATAGCTCGTTCGAAAGAGCATAAATAAAGAAAACTTTTCGCGCAAATCCGAAGTCAATATCTCAAACCGTTTCAAAATAGCGGCCGATTAAAGTTCAAAATGGCCGAAAATTCACACCGGTTATTTGTTGATGGATTTGCGCGAATATCGGTTTGTAGGGGTATTTTGACACGAGAAAAACGAATTTGACGTTAGATTTTCAAAATAACCAAAATTTCCAAAATGGCCGATGGTTAAAGTTTAAAATGGCCGAAAATTGTCACCTCGGTTTTTTCCTGATGGATTTGCCTAAGACTTGGAATTTGAGAGTAGTTTATCATAAGATAAACAAATTTGAACTTAAATTTCTAAAAAAATCAATTTTTTGTCATTTTGAACTTTAACTGGCGGCCATTTTGGAAATTTTGGTTTTTTTGAAAATCTAACGTCAAATTCGTTTTTCTCGTGTCAAAATACCCCTACATACCGATTTTCGCGCAAATCCATTGACAAATAACCGGTGTGAATTTTCGGCCATTTTGAACTTTAACCGGCCGCCATTTTGAGACGGTTTGAGATATTGACTTCGGATTTGCGCGAAAAGTTTTCTTTATTTATGCTCTTTCGAACGAGCTATCACAAAGGGGGTCTTCCCATTTGAAAATTAAAAGTTGGGGGCCGTTGCCCCCCTAAGGGGGGCCCCCTGAACATTTTAGGGGGGCCAAAAAGTAGCTCCCTTTGACCTAGGAATATCCCCCAAGTTTCAAATCTTTACCTCAATTAGGTAAAAAGTTAGAGGGGGTGGAAGGGACTTTTGGATCACCCTGTATAAAAGTAATGTCAAATCCCCTCTTCCCATTCTTTTGAGACATGTAATTAAACTTTAAATGAAATAAAAAAGGGGGAAGAGAAATTATGTATGGCATATTCATCCTTTATGCATGCTTACTAAATGGCCAAAAAGCTGTAAAATGTTAAAACATTACGGAGATCAGCGTGAAACAGGGTGCTCCCGGGCGCAGCTACGGGACTCTAGCCCGAGGCCCATATACGGACCCTGTCGCGTCAACTTTGAAAAAGCATTACTCTGAAACTAATCATTTCCCCAACATCTCCTTTAGCTCATTTTAAAGAGAAAAACAAGGACTATCTTTTGCACGCATATTTATAACCTTTCGTGCGACCCCTCACGTTGAAAAATTGAAAAATCCAAAATTACAATTTTTCAAAAAATTTGATAAGCCATACCTTTGCCAAAAATTAACCGATTATCAATTTCCTATACTTAATAGAAAGGTCTTTTTATGCTCTTTCATTTAAAAAAAGTTCAACTCGATACCTGCAACCGTTCAAAAGTTATGAGCAAAAGTTGATTTTTCTTTGACCCCCCGCCCCCCGCCCCACGGGGAGCTGGATCAAAAACTCCGCCATTTTTGAACTTCTGTAACCTTCCATTACAAAAGGTGAAGGTATGACAAGATTCCGTTCTGGGCCCAATTCTTATGGGAGATGCATCAAGGAAAATCATGCAGAACTGGCTGAGAAATTAACTTTGATAGCTCTAGGTACTTCGATCGTCTGATACTGGCTCTGGAAACTCAATTTGAAATAAAACATCAGCTGATAGCAAACAAAGGCTACCAAGGAAACCAAGGAATAGAACTTTCATAAAAAACAATTTAGTAGAAAACAGCGTAAATGGGGCACTTACGTTAATTATCGTTTATAAGTAAACGGTAAATGCGATTTAACCAAAAATCTATAAAGTTCCTTATAAGACCAAAATGGATAAAATTACAAAATTTGAATCAGCTACCGCAAATCTAACAATACCCAAGTAGCATTTTTCAACTGAAAAATTGCGATATGTTGCGATTTTATCGGCAATAAAATCGCTAGGATCATCAACATCTGAGCGATTATCTTCGATCTTATCGCGATAAAATCGCGATTTTTTCGCCCGGCAATCTATCGCGATATATGGCGATTTAATCTCGATTTTATCGACCAAAATTGATCGCAATTTTATTAAACAAAAAATTGCGATGCATAGCGATTTAATCGCCATAAATCGCAATTTTTTATTCGATAATATTGCAATAAATTTCCACCGATATAATCGCGATAATCAACCGATAAAATCGCTATTTATCGCGATCACTGCTACTAGGGTAGTGTTATCGTGAACGAATGAATTGACGACGGAGATCGGGTAGGTAACTATTATAGGTGGGATGGGACGACGGAGGTCGGGTAACTATTATAGGTGGGTTGGGATGGGATGGGATGAGTGAATGAGTGAATAATGTCTCCAACTCCTGGTAGTTTTTTTCATTATTTCGTCAGAATTGCTTCCCATAATCCGGAATATTCGATCTAATTTTATTGAACTATTCACCAGGCTATGCTTTTTCATTCCACAGGTCATGGAAAACTACAAGGTTCTCCTCTATTCCGGACAAATGGACATTATTTGTGCTTACCCTCTGTCAGTAAACCTCTTCAAGACGCTCAAGTTTGGAGAGAAGGAAAAGTATGAGAAAGCTTCGAGGTGGACCTGGTACTATGGAAGCAACATTGCGGGCTACATAAAGTCATCTGGCAGGTTAACCGAGGCTCTTATTAGAAACAGCGGACATTTGTGTCCAGCGGACCAGCCTGCCTGGACTCTTGACCTCATAACTCGGTTTACGAAGGATCAACTCAAACCAGAAAAGGATGTCAACATTATTGAAACCAGAAACAAAGAGAAACCGAAGATTGGATTAGGACCCTAGTAGCAGCGTTATATAAAAATTATTTAAGAAAAAAAAAAAAAATTCGTCATTAAGTAAGTTGTAAATAACCTGTAAATAAAAATTAAATGATGTTCACATAAAATTTAAGGCCTAGTTTCCATTTTTATCTGCTTGATTAAATCCTCTTTACGTAAAAAATAGGTAATAATTGAGTAAAAAGGAAGAAAACAGGAGGAGTGAATGTCATAATTTCGTTATGATAGATAAATAAAATTTTTGTAAAAAGTAAGTACATAAAAATTACTTAAATATTAATTTTTTTTTTTTTTTTTTTTCTACTTCAAATAGCCCACAAGGGCTAATCCCACGCTTTAAGTCCCATCCCCCCTCCGTCCCTACTGAACCAGGCCCAGGCAACCATTGCTTGAGACCATCAAACTCGGGTCGCCTGGCCGGGAATCGAACCCGGGACCTCCCGATCATAGAGCAAGCGCTACAACCACTACACCATAGGAGGCCGACATACGTAACTAAATAATACGTACCTAAATGGTAAGTATTATTTTGATAATATTTTAGGCCTAGTTTCCATTTTCATCTTCTTCATAATTTCTTGTGTAGGTAAAAAATTTGTAATGAATAAATAAAAAGGAAAAGAATAGGAAGAGTTAATGTCATAAATTATTTTTTTCATGTTTTATTCACCTAGAAGTTATTCGGAAAAGACGTAATTTTTTGCTAATATTTCAATTGACATCCATCTAAAAAATATATGAACATTAAAAAAATTCTTAAACTTTATATCTTTTCACCCGGATAAATTTTTTCATTTTTTCAGGTCATATTTACATGAAATTCATTTGGAAATTGCGTAATTTTTACGCTAAAATTTCAATTAATATTGATTTAAAATGTGTATGAATATTACGTAAATTTTTTTAAAAATTTAAAAGTAATTCCTTACATAAATTTCTTTTTTTTTTCCTATTTTCATTATCTAAAAATTATATGCAAATTAAGTAATCCTTACGCTAATGTTTCAATTAATATTGATTTAAAAATATTATGAATATTATATAAAAAAACTTTAAAATTTATATCTTTTTGCTTACATAAATTATTCCTTTTTTGTATGTTTTTTTTTTAAATAACATTTACAGTTTTTTTAGAGTCAATAATTCTTCAACACATTCTTCTATAAATATTTTGTTTTTTTTTATATAATTAAACACTTTATACATTCTTTACATTAACTTTATGTAATTTGTATATAACGCTGCTACTAGGGGAGTTGTCAAAGAATCGAATACGGAAAGGAGAACTTTAGAAACAGCGGAAAACAACCCCAAGTAGCATTTATTAATGTAAAACTTTATAAACAGCTACTAAAAAACTCTTAGTAAATAGTTGTTATTGTCGTTGTAATTAAGAAGTACATCCTCCGTAGCGCGCACCGTGTAATGTTTTGTGATGAGGCATAGGTAATGCATAACTAAGAGTCGCTAATGCTTCAGGCGGACCGGTAACAATTCAAATCTGGCGAACTAATGCGTGAAATCTGTTGAAATTTTTACAAGATGACGTATTTATCGTGTACCTACTTATACCTAAGTACTTATATGCATATCATAATTTTCCAAACTTCCTGGAATGATTGAATACAGCTTTGCCAAGTTTTTTTTTAAAATTGTTCGTCTTTTTCCGCATCCAACGAGTGGTCCAATTGGTCCATTAAAGTTCCATCCAACGAGTGCCGACTGACCAGCCGTTCAGTGGGTCTCTAAAGTAGCGCTTCAGAAAAAAGTGAAGTTTTGGAAGTATATCTGTAATTTTTGAACTCAGCGACCCTCAAGAGTCCCTTTAAATGTATTTTGTACGGTTTGAACATTTAATCTGATTTATTAAACCCAAATTCCGCTTTGGAATCATATATTTTGGCGCGCGAAAATCGGTCGGCTTGCGTTGAGCGGAAACTTCAATCGTCCATAACTCTCGATGCCTTCGGTTGCCCAGCTTACTGGACCACTCGTTGGATGCGAGCAAAGACGAACCATTTAAAAAACTGGTTTTGGTTCAAATAAAAAATTGAGTACTTGTAAACTTATTGTTTAAAAGAAATTTTCTCGACTCAAAAACTGAAAGAAGCACGTATGTTAATTTGAAAATGTGATTTTGGGATTTTGACCTTTAAAATCATGAAGGACGACGGACCAGTCTTATGGAAAAATTGGACTCGGTTAAATCGGCTGGTTTTTTGATATGTTATAAGCCATATGATGTAGCAGGGGCTTGTTTTCTTTGCATAGAATCGATTTCTGAAATAAAACGTAGGGGTGCCATTTGAAAAGTTCGACTTACGGGTGGGGCACCCCCCGCCCCGCGCCCCTCCCGCGGCTTAGGAAAATGTCAAATTCGCCAAAAGGTGTCCCCCTCGATATAAACGAACAGTCCTTTAACATTTTTCTAAATTCCGACGCGTTCGGCAGATATTCAAGGTGGCTCCTTTTTCGTGAGACACCCCGTACTAGCGAGAAAATTCTCTAACCTCAATATTATAGGACCTCCATGATGCACATCCGGAACTACCCCATTGCGGGTGGGGTAACTCCGTATGCAATGGGGTAATTCCGGACGCTACAAAACAATTCACCAAACAATTTTGACAACATTTTTTTCAACAAAAACTAGCTTAACTAGCTCTCCACAATATGAGGAGCTGGCTGATTCAAAAAAATCTCGAATTCAATCAGTTTGACTGGTCCAAACCAAAGGTTAAAGTAGGTACAAATTAGGTTTCAAGCGTCAAAATCGTCCGGAATCACCCCAACTGACCCTAATGAAATCAATGAATCCGAAGAAACTTGTGAATCAACTCTTAAAGAATTTAGAAGTGTTTTTGACACCAAGAACATTATTGGCTGTATTGGCAACAAAGAACTCAAACTTGAAACAGATCCTAACATCAAGCCTGTCAACGACCCTCCAAGACGAATCCCTCTTAAATCTAACTAAGCGCTAAAAAAACATCTCAAAGAACTTCAGGATCTCAACATTATTGAACTTATCAAAGACCATACTCCTTGCACTAATTCCACTGTAACTGTTCATCGCAAAGATAACAAGTCCATCCGCCTTTGTCTAGATCCAAGAAATCTGAATAAAGCCATCAGCCAAGATTGCGTCCCTTAAGGCACATTCCCTGCTTGTTTGGGTTGTCCTGTTCTGACCTGTATAGCTTAAACTGATATTAAAAGTATTTTAAATTGCATGTTGATTAATTCTACGCGTTTCCCGGGCCTTAAATAGAGTCCTGACAATTTCTCGAAAAAATCAAAAATTTGGCAACAAAGATGGCGTCAGGACGCACTCAGGACATCATCCTAAAAATTCTGTAAAAAATTAAGCTTTATTTTTATGCCAAAACGCAACTTTTTAGCACTAGCCATCTTGGAATTTCGAAAAATGTTGAAAAATGGTCCACCCTAGGGGGATCTTCCCCGGAAAATTTTCAAAAAAATAGCCCCCCCTCCCCCCCAGATTGAATTTTAAGCAGTTTCAGCATACAATCTGCGCATTATTTGAAAGCCAAAAATTGAAGAGAAAGTACTACCTCTTTTAGAGAAATTTTATTCTAGTATCTACTTCTGCGGTGTTGAGTAACCTTTGGTTTAGTGAACTTTGTTAAATAGTTCTGAAGTTCTGTCTTGACATTATACCAGGAGATTTTTAGGAGCACTTTCTTTCTCTCCTTCTTCTTTCCCCTTTCCTCCTTTTCCCATCCTTTTCCCCCTTTTTTGGACCGGGGGGGGGGGGCTGCCACCATGTCCCCCTCCCTGTAAGCCACTGGATCCCTGGTAAAAATGATCACCTAAAAAATAGGTGATATCACCTGAAAAAAAGGTGACATCACCTGGAAAGTAGGTGACCTCACCTGGAAGGTAGGTGACATCACCTAGAAGGTAGGTGACATCACTCAGGTCGCATTTGAGTTTCAGGATTAAGTAAGGGAAAATTAAATATTAGCTAATTATTGGATAATTTCATGGGTACAGAATAGAACATTTGCTTTGTGCGAAACATTTTTATACAGTGGAAAATACTAAAAGAATAAATATATGTAAAAAAAGGAAATTTAGAACATTAAGTAAAATAAAAACAAGAATGAAGTAAAAATAAAATAGAGTAAAGACATGAAATGTCGTAAAAAAAAAATATACGTTAGAAGTGGACGTTAGAAAATGAAAAAAGTGAAAAAACAAAATGAAGTGAAAAATAAAATGCAGTCTGAAAAAGAAACATAGTAAATAAAATGAAATAGAGAAAAAAACGAAGTAAAATAACACAGCGTGAAAAAATAAAAAAAGTAAAAAAAGTAAAGTCAATTCAGAAAGTAAAATATAGTAAAAAAATAAAATAAGTAGGGAAAATAATAAAATAGAGTATAATAATAAAGTAGAGTAAAATTAATAAAAAATAGTATAGGATGCAGTAAAATTAATAAAAAATAGTATAAAATGCAATAAAGAAAAAAATGATAAACAAATAAAACGAAGTAAAGTAATAAACTGAAATGAATTACTTAAAATAAAAAAAGAACAAACCAATAAAAACTGGTCGAGATATCCTGATGGCTGTACAGTGCACGTTTAATTCGAAGCTAAATGCAGGTTTTTCGTCAATGTTTTCAGGCCGCCTGCATAGCTTAGTAGTCAGGGGGCATACGTAAAAAAACATATCGACGGTGAAAGTCGGCAATCACATAACTCGGTTTGCGACGTCGCAGACTTCCTGTCATACTTTATTTTTTAAACGGAAAACTACTCAACGGTAATTCTTTAAAACTGCCGTGATTTTTCTTCTATGTGCGAGGAAAATTCTGCACAAACTTCAAGGAATCATGCCCATTTGTTCTCCTTTCAAAAAATAACATAGTTGCGGAGATTTTCAGACACCGCAAACGAGTTATGTGATTGCCGACTTGCACCGTCGATATGTCCCGTGTGCAGATTCGTGAAGGCATATTGTGAGATACATCAATCTCTTCGTTGTGATGTCTAGAAAAAGAAAATCGATTATGGCCATCTCAAATTTCATACAAACCCCCGCAAATTCAAGATATGTGATATATTCACATACATGTAATAAACAAAATAATGATGGATAAATGCATTTATATAATCACTAATCATGCGATCGTAACGTATGAAAAATCGAGGGTTTTGAACTTTGCTGAATGTGCTCGACGAAGAACAGCCTCCAAATACTGAAATAATTACGCGGTTTTCTGTG